AATGTCCGGACACCCTGCATGTAAACGTTGGAAGGCACATGTGCTAAAATCATGTTTGAATAATTGAATCCTCATCAGCTCTCGAATGCGTTCATGGAATTCAACTGATTTAAGAAGTCGCAAACTTCTAGAAAATAAATTGGCTCAATCACTAGCAATCAGGCTATCAGAGCGAGCTCAATCAAATACATCAGTCTAAAATCTGATTTTATAGATGTAGGTACAAATTTATGACTTCATACTCAGAGGCGCTAATATTAGCTTTATGCAATAGATAGCATCACGCTGGCATGCAACTTGCTGGTGATTAGTGATCACACCAACTTCTATGTAGGCGTAATTTCGAGTGTTTTTGACACAACTGCCTTTTACTTTTGGCTCACTTTAGCTATTTATTTGTAATTATCGTTTATAGTTAGCGGCTGGTCAGATGTTCCGGGCTGTATTTAAATAATCTCAGCTCAAGTAGGCACTGGTGTGATATGTTCATATGTTTTTATTGTGCCTTTATCACTTGTGCTTCCCCCTCCCATGTCCCCGAGGTCCGCGAGGAGGTCCTGTGGTATGTCCTAGTACCTACGGGGAGCCGGTCCGTATAAGTTTTCCTTGTATTATCTTTATCACTTGTGCCATCCTCCCGTGTCCCGCAGGTCCGGGAGGCGGACGCTGGTACGGGGAGCCGCCGTACCGGCGCCCGCTCTCAGCCCAGTAATTAGCGGCGCCCATTAATTGGCGCCTCATCGCTAGGCGGGCCAGTGACGTCACTATACGTCTCTCCGGCGGCGGCGGCGTTCTTATCCTCTGTCCTTACCGCGACAGGGGAAGAATCGCCCAGCCGACATGCCGTCACACCGCCGCCAGATGCTAATGACCAATTTGCCAGTTTTAGAGAATGGTGCCCTGAGACCGAATGAGCGGTTTGTGCGTCGGCTAGTGTTAGTACTAGTGCTGCTCATTATAAGATGTACTGAACTGCAATGTGTTGGCAATGCTGTAAAATAATTTGTCTTACACCGGATATGGTGACGCACGTGAATTAATATTGCTGCATGATGTTGCAGTAGGGCTATTCCCTTATGCATGAGACGTCGAGCCCACGCGAGATGAGTGAAGCTGATCGAGACTTATTGTAAAAGGTTCTTTCTCGCACTCGTGTATATGAACGGAATTGCGTGTGCTTTTGGCCTTATGTTTTTATTTCATTGCTTTTGTTTCCACTTTCATCTCATGCTTTTGACGTGAGCGTTGTGTAATTTGAGTAACGACTGCATGAGGTTCAGTCAAAATTGGTTTGTTTGAAAAATTGTTATCCTTTTTAATTATCTTTTATTACAGCTATGGATATGGGATAGTTATCATGTCCGATTTGTCGAAAGTGCCTATTAAATTAGACTCACACTAGACTGAAAGTTTACCGTGGCTTGAGATATTCAAAGATATAACGAAACATGAACGATGCCAATAAAATATTTTCATGTTTATTCCTAGAACGGTGGTAGCTCAAACTCAAAGTAATCTTTCCCATCGCATAACCATCGCCATCTTCTCACGTTCCTCGCACCCTCAGTTCCTCCTGCAGCCAGTTTCTGTCGCTCCGTCTTCTCGGCGTGACATTGCATCTCGGATCCGGCGGTGAATCGGAGACACCGCGGCGGCGGCAGCAGCACCTCGCCGTCTAATGACGGACGTCATTACGCACAGCCGCGGATCAGCTCTGGCGACCGCGGCGCGTAACAAGCTCGCGCCGCGCCGCCCGGGCGACAGGTGTCACCTCTGCGTAACGACCCCATCGGAGGCGGCGCCCGGCTCCTGTGCCGGCAGCCGGCTAATGGTGGTTCGCGACGCTACTTAGCCAGCCACAGCCGCCGCCGGATCAGGTACCCGGGCCTGTCCCCGCCGGATCAGGTACCCGGGCCTGTCCCCGCCGGATCAGGTACCCGGGCCTGTCCCCGACGGATCAGGTACCCGGGCCTGTCCCCGACGGATCAGGTACCCGGGCCGTCCCCTGGATAAGGTACCCGGGCCTGTCCCCTGGATAAGATACGAGGGCCTGTCCCCGCCAAATCAGAAGTCTATTTCTCGGATCTGTCCCTCTGGCCGGCGAGAAGTCAGGGTCTTTGTTGGCTCAGACTCTGAAGTGTGTGCCCTTCGGCCTAGCCGGCCCAGAACTACTGGTCTGTCCCTCGCCAATTCAAAATTTCAGGTCTGCTCTCGTCGGCTTCAACTTGCAGCTCTTTCTCTTGCAGTCTTGCCCACTCAGGTTCTATAGGGCCTGTCCCTTGTCAGTTTAGTTAAGGGCGTCCGCCCGTCGCTGGCTCAAGTATGATATACATTTGAACAGCAGTTGTCGTGAGAAACATCTAGCAACGTCGGTCGGGTCTGGCCGATCACTGGATTTCTGCCAGAGCTCGCAGACAAACCGGTAGGCAGTCGGACGCCGCCCTCAGACAGTAGTAAGCCGCAGACCCGCCGGGTCCAACCGTTTGCAGCGGCAGTGCGGACCCAATGACGCGGAACAACTGGCCGTTACAGAACCGAATCGGCCATCGCAGCAGAACGAGTGGCTTGTAACAATCCGAGACCGCTCCGCCCAGCTCGAGGGACCATTTCACGACAATTTTGGCCCCGACACAGAAAATAAGTGAGAATAAAAACAAAACTGTGAGGTTCTATGCAGGCTGCATAAAACACATTTGTTGTTGTTTGATTTTCAGCCAACAAAGCTGGATATTATAACTGGATAATTGCTGTGCATAGTTCTAGGCAATAATGGGCGAGTCAGCTGGCCGATCCTGTTTACGCCGACAACTTCGCGGCATCGTCACAGGTCCATCCGATGGTCACATCGCGTTCAGCGTAGATCGCTCAGCGGCCGGATGGCAGGCAGCGCCCGTAATGTATTCCGGCTATCACACTGGCCTTTATTGGTCATTGGTCGGCCTGAGACGAATGGTGCCAACCCGTCGATTTCCAGCGCGTCGTTAGTTGGGAATGCTGTCTAATACCCGCAAACAGCAACAGCAGCGTGCATACCGCATTGTTCGTACCCAGATCTCTCGCTCTCACCACTGGGTGTGACATAGAGCGCATGGATTAGTTACATCCATGGCATTACAAGGAGACTGATTAATTGGCTGCGGAAATGCGTATGTCAACCTATTTTTCTCCTTTTTTTTGTCTTATTTGTTGACAAGATGTAGTGAACTCAGCCAACCAGCAAAGTCGTGAAGCTGAAATGGATAAATAACAAAAAAGTCCAACACGACGAAAGTCCGTGACTGTGTTTCCAGTCAACTATAAAATATTTGCACGATACGATACTCAACTACGACTTGTCCTATTTATCAAACTTGTTCCTGGCTGTTGGTTGTACTTCATCGGTCACGTTTACACTACAGACATTGGTCACACACTTCATCAACAAAGTATTCAACAAAGTGGAGCGTTGACGGCGCCGTGCGAACTTTGCGGGCGATTTTCTCACGGTCCCGTGTCGCCGCTGAATGCTGATCGTGACCTTGCGTGGTTTTATGCTCCGGTCCAGACGGCCACCTACCGACCAATCGGAAATTATTTATTACCTTTTGTTCCATGCAATTATACCTGTGAGCTTAGCACAGTGAATTACTGCTTATAGCGTGCCAGTGCTTTGTTATTCTCAATACGACCGTTGAAATATTGTCGTAAAATGTGAGGGTCACAATAGGTGGGGACATTGATGATAAAGGTATGGCGTATTGCGTGCTTTCAGCCTGCTTTTCATCTGTCCTGTGCCGCCCAAACAGTCGGGAGGTATACACCTTCAAGTGCTCCAAAGACAGTATAAGGGTTAGCTTCACTTCAAGTGAGCAGTGCTGTTGACTTCATCGAGCCTAACATATTAGCGCATGTACCATTATCTTGTCCACAATAGTCAACAGTCAAGGCCCAGTCCTACAGGTATATGCGGTATCGTTTCTTCAGAGCCCCACTGAACTGTGAACCCGTAGATCTGACCATTGGCGGTATCCGTGATGAGTTCGCCGTAGGATAGCGGGGGTGGTGCAGTACATTCCAGGTCAGTGGCTTCTGCACAGGTGGATCCGGCCGATGGACAGTAACGAGATGTGAGCGCCCCTCCAAAAGGTCAGAGTTTGATGTCAGCCCATGATTCTTATGTGACAACATCGAATATTTTATATGGAAAAGAACTACTGAATTCAGATTATGCCTACATTACAACTCATAATGGTGTAATTAATGGTGTAATTCTGACCTTTTAATGGTGCAGAAGCGACACTGCCTTATATTTCAAGCAGATATACGATAGGGGCAGACAAGATAAAGTATTCTATCTTTCCTTCTTTTCAAGCATGTTTTCAAGTAAATAAACCTAAAAGTACCGAACGATTTAGGTACACACTTGTGTCATCCATATTCAGAAAGAGATGGCTATGAGGTAATTCATAGCTGCCTTTCTTCTGTCTGAGGCAGAAAGCTAGTTGATGAATTGTTGCCAAACAAGGCGGCTGAACTTGTGTTTGCACTTTATCATGTATTTGCAAAGATAAGCTATGCCTCATTGGTAGGCACCGCCAGTGACACATTCCTGTTTCTTGCGACCAATATCCTTGCTTTTTTTCTTGCGGAAGATTGGAACAAGACAAATGGCGACATTGACCTTCGCCCATCGTCTGCCTGGCCGGAACTCCCAGTGCAATGATACTGCAGCTGTCCCTGAGGTGAGCGGCGTGTGGCGCGCCTGTTCTCCGACAATGGGAGGTAGTTCCTCTGATGGTGCTGCTAGTCCGCCGCTCATCCTGGCCACTCCCGCCGCTGACCGGTCGCCCTGTTCTCGCCCGGGGCCGCAGAGGCCGGAGAGGCTGGCCGGCCAGTCGGTGCGATAGGCCGCCCTCCGTCCCCTCCAGCCGCCGGGCGGAGCAGACCGCGCGCGCTGCCAGCGCCGCCGCCGGCTGACGCCTGAGGCGGCCGTGATCGAAGGCCAGTGCGGGTGCGGAGCCGGTCCGGGCCAGCCGCTGCCGCCGGCGCTCTGCCCCCGAGTCGGACGGACGGTCCTCCGCAGACGCCATGCCGTGGCTGGCGCTGCACTCCAACACCACGGTCGAGCGGGGCGCGGCGCTGCTGCTGGACGCGCTGGCAGCCGCCGGCCAGCTCACCGAGCCGCCGCCCGAGCTGGAAAACACCACCGGCCTGAACGCCAGCTGCGCGCCCACCAACGGCACGGACTGTGCCGAGACGGACCCGCCGGCGCGCCAGTACTGGTTCCTGCTGCTGGTGCTGATCCCACTGCTCAGTGTGTTCGGTAACGTGCTGGTTATTCTGGCCGTGTGGCGCGAACGCTCGTTACAGTCGGCCACCAACTACTTCATCGTCAGCCTGGCCGTGGCCGACCTGCTCGTGTCGGCGGCCGTCATGCCGTTCGCCGTCTACGTCCAGGTGAGTGCCGCTCGAGCCGCGAGCGGTCCCCCTGGGGTCGGGTTCAGAGGTCACTGGGGAACACAGAGTCCTCCCGGACCGCGAGCGGTGGATGATGCCGCCGGGGTCAGAGACCAGTGACCGCTGTGGGGCGCAGAGTTTTTTTCTTCTTACGAGCTGCGGAAGGTAGGCCGCCTCGCTGTGCTGGCCAGAGGTTACTGGAGTTTTCACGAACGGGGAGGGAGTGCGAGTTTCACTCCTTCCGTCCCTGGGCTGACCTTCACCTTCCATTCGTGACCGTAGCGCATCTATCGCTGACCACTGCCGGCTGGCGCTGTCTGGCGTAATCTGCACTGAGTGGGCTCATCTCTCATTTTGTATGGCTACTTTACTGCGCCCGTAGAGCTCCATAGCTTCATCCACGGCAACGTCTGACTACACACGTATTCCACCGGCACACCGAGGGTGAATATAAGAGAATGTGAGCAAAGCTCACCGCTGTTAGCTAAAACACATCAATAGACGTAAAATCTCTCCCCAGAATGCTCTGTCTGGCCAGTCGCTGGCCTTGGTCTGTTCCGTCTGGCCAGTCCCTGCTCGCTGTCTGCGCTGACTGGTCACAGTCTGGGCTATATCCCGGCAGTGTCGGGGTCTGTGGCACTGCTATCTTTGTGTCCTCGCCGCTGTCCTCTCGTGTCCTCGCCACTATCCTCACTGTCTTCTGGTGCCCTGTAATATCCTCGCCGTAGTCTCAGGTATCCTCGCCGCTGTCCTGGTATCCTCGCCGCTGTCCTCTGGTGTCCTCTCCGATATCCTCTGGTGTCCTCGCCGCTGTCCTCTGGTGTCCTCGCCGCTGTCCTCTGGTGTCCCCCGTCGCTGTCCTCTGGTGTCCTCTCCGGTCTCTGGGGTGTCATCGTCCGCCCGGCCACTACCCCCCAGTAAAAAAACCTTTCCTCCCGCGGCCGTGTTCGGTAATGGACCCGCGGCGGTGCGCTGATGAATGAAGGGTCATTCAGAGGCGCCGGAGACGCCGCCCACGGGCTGCGTCCCTCGCTGGAAAGGTGCATAGGGTGACCTGAGGAGGCCGGCCAGACGACAGACACTATTTATAGGCTCTGACTTCACTGCCGGGCTGGTTGACACCGAGACCAGGGCGGTAGATAGACGGCTGAAGTATGAAGCCGTACATAATATTTTTGACATTAACTTTAATAATTGAGTAAGGATGGCAATATGAGGACGAAAAATTACGAAAGGATAAGAAAGGCGTCCCATCGCAATGAGAATCGTTATCGACAAAAATGCATTTACAATTGTAATGTGTAGTCGACTACAGAATGATGTTCAACTTTTCACAGGAAATTATTTGCCTGGAGTGGTAGGCTGTGCCGCATCACAAGGGCTGAGTTCACAAGTTATAGCTTTGTCCCAATGCTCACAATCGACACGCTTAATTGTGTGATAAACGGCACAACTTAGCGTTCCGGCCAACTGATAGCTTCTGAGGAGTGGATCATTCTGTAGTCGACTATGCATTGACGACATTTATTTTTCCTATGAGAAGGTATTCAACGAACCGTACATATTTTTACCAGTGGTCAATTCAGTGTCCGGTGGTCAATGGGGCACCAAAATGGCAATTTTAAGGAGCGATTTATCCATTTTGCACGATGCTGGTTACAAAAAAGGGAACTGTTGCAAAAGCTGCTGTTGCATTTAACGATTGGCCACAGAGTAAGATAGTCATGTAGGAGTGACTCGATGGAAAACATGTGCTATAATAGCTAACACCTGAAAATAATTAGAGTAGCGTCACCTTTCAAGGAATCTTGGTTCACAGAAAATGTTGGTTACATACTTGAGACCTTATTTAAAAGTTTTAATCTCCCTCAGTCTTCTAAGTAGCCGTCCAAGTAGTGTTTTACTTCAGTGAAACACATTATTCACTTTATTATACAGTTTGAATACAAAGCATGGTGTTCGACGCAAGGAAACAAAGCCTCGAATATTTTGCGCTAGTTACAGTTTTTTGTGCCTAGGTATGCTGAATCCGCTCTGGGCAGGTCAGTACCAGTTTCTCTTGTGCTCGTTCAATTCAATACCATCCATCGCGTACGAACCCTCAAGCTCTCTGAGTCCGATCGGATAACCGGCGGCTCCATCTGCGGCCGGGGACAGATGAGCACTGAGCAGGGCCGCTGAAGTTGTGGTCATGTCATCCGGTGTGATCGCGGTGAGCCGCCCCATCGAACAGCCCGCGAACGGCGCCCGGCCCGCTCTCTGTTGTCGAAACTTTGGACTCTCCGCTCCCCAGGCGAGAATCTGCGCGGAACTGAGGGAATTCGACCGCATTTTATGATGATTTAAATTGGCCAGGCATTAGCTGTCAAAGTTACGGGCTCATTCGGGTGAGATAGGAAGAGAACTAGGTGATGGGTTTGAGGAGCCTTACGGGAGACCAGAACGCTCAGTTTGAGCGCTGCTGTGCCACAGTCGGCGCGCTGGGGGCCTCTTGACGACCAAGATCGGCTACAATAATACGAGTACATTCAACATTCAACGTTGTACCTATTATTTTTATTCTTCCTAGCAAAGTCAACACGAAGCGCAATCTATAATTTAGTGGCATGATACGCCTTTATTTTCCCTTTGATTGTGATAAGCGAATAGCAATTCAAGAAGTTTAAGCGGCTCAACAAGAAAATCATGGCTGCTTGGAAAGAATTCACGAGACAGACCAAATCAGTTTATCTTGAAACTAAATTACCTTAAGCACCAACTACGAAGGCGTCAAGTCCGGCTAAACTTTGGTCATTTTTCATGGCGTCAACGCTTCATTCATTCGCTGGTGCTGAGCTGATAAATCTTATCGGGATAGCGGGCAGTAAGGTGAGGTCATCCAGACATGCTGCGAAAAGTTTTCTGTAGAACTGCGCTTCGGGGTTTGTGTTGGTAAATGTCAACAAACATCTTGAAGTGTGGCTGTGGAGGACACTTCCCAAGGCTCCATTCATCAATGTTCGAATGTAACAAATGTTCTTCAATGCATTATCTTCGAAATGCTGAGACCGGTGCTATTTGTTTGTAAAAACTGAACTCCAGACAGACATTACCAAAAAATGTTATTGTCCTCGACGACGCATAAATTTGGCAACGTTCTTGCTAATATGCATTCCTAAATTATTTATATCCTCTGCTGCAGGTTACAAAATGCATATGAACCAGATACGTCACACGTATATCACCATCGATATATTGCGTTTCTCATAGGTTTGAATGCGTTTCTCCTAATCTGAATTCTCATGGTGTGTCGTTTCGGGAACTAGCGACCCGCGGCCGGGCGCCGCGGGGAGGTGCCCGCCATAGGGTTTTGGGGCTATTTTTTCACGTTTCGGTCTGAATCGTGAAAAGTACTGGTCGTAGCAAATATGTTCCCTGGTTTCTGAATTTTCAGCCCACGTGGAATGCGATAGCACAAGAGTCATTTTCGTACAGACAAAACTGTGCCCGCGTTTTTTGGTCAAAGTAAAAATGTTCAGCAGCTTTTAACACGTGGGCCGCCGCAAAACAGGGTACACCGGAGGACTTACGATTCAATATCTCCTAAGCCATCATAGATAGCAAATATGTTCCCTGGATCTATGTAGATAATACTTTAGAGAACACTTCAGGCCAAAAATTGTTTCTCGACAACTTACACCCAGCCCGCGTTTTTGGCTTAAATGCAATGCAACACGGCAGCCGACCTTTAGGGCTCAGTTAGCGAGTTCATTTTTTAGCGAGCACTTCGAGCATTTCAGCGTTCGATGAAATGACATATTTTTTCAACGCAGTCGTTTCTTCATTTGCATCTAAACGCGACCTATATGATAATGTGATTGTATCGTCACACTAGAAGGTGTAATTCATGGTAATTTATAGGGCTAATTCTCGGCGCACAGCAGCAGACGGACACCGACTGACCCACCATCTAAAGGCAGTTTGGCGAAGCAGTATCGTGAATCACAGCCGCGAGATGTCCCTAGCGTAGAACACCGTCTGTTTGCCCAGTTTAAATACGTGATGTTTGCCCTCTGTCAACCCCTCAGTCATGGGGTTGGGGTCGCGGATGAATGGGCGACCGCCCGCCGCGCGGGGAGGGGGCTGCTCCCCTGACCCGGACCGCCACGGCATGGGGACGGTCCCACACTCGCGTGCCTCACGTCACCGCCTCACACCGGTCAATTACGCTGGTTTTGAGGAACCGCCCATTGTGGTGGTGGGTGATCCAACGCAGACCATGCCAGAACCCCACTGAGGGGGTATCACCCGTGTCAGCTTTCAGACCCATGATATCCCCATACCGAAAGCGACGTTCCAAAGAGCAATATGCCTTTAGTGGGCATTATTGATGTTTAATTCGAGAATGTATGCATGGATGTAAGCAAATACCTACATGATATGTTGAAGTACCTACTCCAACTGTACAACTCTGGCCTCTCAGCTCAGGAATAAACTTTTCTTACTTTAAAGACAGATTTTTAGTGACTTAACACTCGCACATACATATAGCGGGGTCGAACAGACCCCTCCCGGTTTTTCGCGAATAATTCGCGCAAAAAGCGGCCGATCGCGACGAAACTTTCAGTACCCTCGAGTTAATCAATTTTACACTTACTCTTAAAATTTAATGACCCTGACCCCAATGACCTTTGACCTGTGGTCTGATTCTCGAGACCATGTTCGACCGGAATCGCGAATTAGCGTACATATGCCGGCTGAGGCTCACATTATCCGCGCAATTTCCATGCTTTTTTTGGTGTGGGTTTCAAGGTCCCGTGAAGGTCAGGTCAAAGTCATTGACCTTTGATGACCTTGCTTCACTATTTCGAGTTTTACATGTTTCTATGGTAGTTTCTGGGGCTGATTTCGAATTCCCATTTGGAGATTTATGAAATAGTTTTGGTGCCCTCGTATGCTACGAAGCTGTCAAGTGGTCAACACCTGCTATGGATGGCCGGCAGGTCACCTAATGGTTGACC